ATAATAATACATACAACTTTTGGCACAACCAGTATTTACAGCTTTATGGTCTTTAAATAATATCTATGACTTAATCGAAGAGTCCATTCGCTATATTCCATTACCAGTTTTGCAGAGTCCCACCTGACAAATCCCTGAGGAGTCTGACACAAAAGAGCATCAGCTTCTACCTCACAGACTCTGGATTTCAGCTGTGGTCAGCTGTGTTTTCCAACTTTCTTCTCTCTGCAGCAGCTAATAAGACTATTTCAGCCTTCTACCTGCAATGATGGCTAAGATGCACTCTTCAATAATGCATTAGACAGGCAGGCAAGTACCCTTGGGTCTCCCACCACCACCACCTCTTTTTTCTGCCCAACCCCCCCCCCCCACACACACACACACACACACTGTATAGCTGAATACAGTGAAGATGCAGCCTGACTCAGAGGTGTAAGACCTATTGATTTGTGGAGCAGCACTTCTCATCTTTTCTCGGCCTGCCTGCAAAATGATCGGGATAAAGGTGATGGTGAAGGTGGTGGTGGTGTAATGCACAACAAAAATACTGAGGGGGGATGGAGAGAAAGGTTTGGCTGAGAGGGGAAACAGAAAGAACCCCAAATTAAAGAAATAACAAAGACTCTAGGGCTTTGTTGGTTCCTTTTCAGTCATTTGACTCAGTACAACACACAGTTGTATATGGGACACAGGTGCGCGCCTGGCTGAAGCCACCTCTAATCACGTCTTTAGACCAGTGACGTGGTGACATTGAACGTCGGATGACAGGCTCCACCTTCACCCTATAAGTTCGGAGTCACCAGCGTCATTACTCAGTTCTATAGCCCTTCACCTCGCGATAGTCACCTCTAAACCTGAGCTCACATAGCTGCTGCTAGTTAGCTCAGCTTCTAAGGTTCTTAGGCTAGCTTTACTGGTGCTAACCACCTTACCTGCTGGTTCGTGTGTCTGCCGCTCGACGCTACTTAAGTGACCTTTATTTTCTGCTGAAAATCTGTTTTGTGGTTCACGATGAGCACAAAACCACCTTCAAAGAAGCCGAAGTCTTCTGTTCGCCCCTGTCCTCAGGGGTGCGGCTTTAAGCTTCATGAGAAGAACCAGCATGAGGCCTGCCCGGCCTGCCTAGGAATCATTCACGCTCGGCGGGCGCTTGTGGAGCCCGAGTCCTGCCGGGCCTGTGCCGGACTTTCGCGTCTGACACTGGAGAGGAGAGTGAAATTCCTGGAGAAAATGCTGGGGGAAACTGCTGTATTCCGACAAGACCCACTGCTCTCCGAATCCAGCCAGACGGCTCAGTCCGACGAAGACAAGGATTCGGCGGTCGAAGCCCCCGCTGATTGCTGGGCGGACCAGATGGAGCTCGAGGCGACCTCACCCGACATCAAGGGGGGCGATACCCAGTTTCTACTGGATCTAAACCGAGAGGGTGGACCAGGATTTGTCCTTCTTGTCTC